AGTTTCACTCACCCCTATTTTTTGAAACTGCTGTGGAAAATACATTAATATTACTCATTTAGCAATATAAAAAACAAAAAAAAACAAAAACAAAAAAGCCAAAACAAAACAATTGGTTCGCACTACCAGATCGGCCTAGAATTTTCGCGATTATTGTGGAAAACACATTAGTATTAGTCATTTAGTAATAAAAAAATAGTAGATTAAAAATAATTAGTTAGAAATTCTCGATTGGCCTAGAGGGAAAGAATTTAATAAATAATTTAAAATTCAATTTAATCATCTAAATTTTCAATTTTGATCACAACAATACGATCCACAATATCTTACATTCAGTAAATTCATCACCCAATGTAAGTATTTGAATTTTCTTCATAATCAAACCGGAAACAAATTTCCATGGCGTCGGTGAGGGTTGGGGACACAAGCCTCAACTGCTTTCAATTTGGGCCAAGTTGCTTGTTGGAATTTCCTAGAGAAAATTGTTTATTTTATTTTATTTTTTTATTAATACATTTTTAATTAATATAATTACTTAATTAAAAAATATATTAATTAAAAATAAGTTGTAAAAATTTAAATTCGTATACTAGAAGGAGCATTTGTCTCTTTTTTACTTTCTCCCAATCGCCAATTCCATTATAATTTGAGTCCATTTCTTGCCAGGCTTGATGATTTGATATGGGCCTTGTGACTAAACTTAGATTTTGGGTTGGGTTGATTGAGATTGGCTAATCCATCAGAACTCCCGATCCGGGACATAAGCCTCAACTGCTTTCAATTTGGGCCAAGTTGCTTGTTGGAATTTCCTAGAGAAAATTGTTTATTTTATTTTATTTTTTTATTAATACATTTTTAATTAATATAATTACTTAATTAAAAAATATATTAATTAAAAATAAGTTGTAAAAATTTAAATTCGTATACTAGAAGGAGCATTTGTCTCTTTTTTACTTTCTCCCAATCGCCAATTCCATTATAATTTGAGTCCATTTCTTGCCAGGCTTGATGATTTGATATGGGCCTTGTGACTAAACTTAGATTTTGGGTTGGGTTGATTGAGATTGGCTAATCCATCAGAACTCCCGATCCGTCCAAAAGGCCTGCACTTCGTGGCGTCAAAACAGTTTCTAATTATCGATCATGGTTACGGTAAATCTGCAGGAACATTCGAGGGCTTGAATACCAAAATAATGCAATTAGGAGGGGAAAAGCCAAGCCAAATCTATAACTAACGAGAGAATCCCAAAAACTTAAAAGAAGAAAACTCAACTTTAATATTCAATATCTCAAAAATTAAGTCTCTCTATTAAAATAACGGAAATAGTAGAAAATATGCCAATATAAAAAGCTTAAGGAAGTATATAAGCCAACTTTTAGTTATAGAAATTAATAGGTCATAACTTGTCAAGTTATGGTTCATAACCACATAAGCTATGGACAAATTTGTCAAATTATGGTTCATAGCCATATAAGTTATGGATAAAAATCATGATTTAGGGATAAAAACCGTGATTTATGGATAATAACTTGTCAAGTTGTGGTTCATAACCATACAAGTTATGGACGAAAACAGTAATTTTACCTATTTATTAACTTATATAAACTATTAACCTATTAATTTTAATTCATCTCAAGTCTTAATATATTTTCCTCTTTTTCCCGAACAACGTAGCTATTCATAACACATATTCAAAACGATAGCAAAATAATCACTAAGGTTTTATGACGCTCTAAACAAATAACGAAAAACAAATATTAAAAGCATCAATTTAGTTAAGATAAACGACAATGCATGTATAAAAACGAGTAATTACATTGGTTGATGGTTGCCCTTCGTTTATAGACAGGCCCTCTTTCAAATATGAAGAAAACTGTACAATTATATCGATTGCACACCTATTGACAATCGCCTTTGCCCTTGAAAAATATTTAACTACCCTTGGCTGCCCTTCACTTAAATTGACCATCAGATTTCTTTAATAATATAAAAAAGAGTAAATTGCATTGTTACCCTCTAAATTTTCAGTTTTTGTATAGTGGATCTCAAACTTTCAATTTTGACAAATTATACCATAAACTTTAAAATCAATTACAATTGAAATACAATAGTTAATAGTGTTATCAAATTGACAGTTCGAGACTCAAGAATTATACGTCTCATGGTTTAAAAAGTGACAATCTTACGTTTTATGTGCGAATTGTGTGTTTTAAACCGTCAATATGATAATATCCACTATCTATTGGGCCTCAATTGTAAATGAATTTAAAATTTAAAGTGCAGTTTACTAAAATTAAAAGTTTAGGGTGCATATGTAAAAAATGTATAGTTTAAGGTGCAACAGTGCAATTTAACCGATAACAAAAAGTCACATCAAAGATTAATGGTTGAGATTTTGTGGGGGAATGAGTGTGATTGTAGAATACCCCTTAAAATAATTTGAAAATGTCAAGTTTATACTAGTTAAATAAAAAAGTTTATCAACCAATAATAATAAAAATGTTAAAATTCAACATTTAGTATTTTGATATCAAATTTATCATTATTGATGTCAGGTTGTATCTCATCTCTCACCGTACGCGTGACAACTCATTCTGTCAAATACTAAAAAATAGGTCACGATTACTCTCAGACCAATCAAACTAGTCGATCAAAAGATCAACCTCATGGATTGATCCCATGAATCAACCCACAATTAAGATGTTAAACCAACGAACGTGCATTGAAATGACAACCAAACTATCCATAAAAAGTATGAAAATTAGATCCACAACAATCACATTCTAAAGGTTAACTATCAACTATAAAGGGCGTCATATTAACTTTTAATCGGTTAACGGGAAGGTGATGAATCTGTAAAAGAACGTCAAATATCACTGAGAAAGAAAAGTATGTAACGAATTAAAGGCCAAATCACATAGAAAACCAGTAAACCACCCGATGACCTCATCAACTATAAATGCAAGAAACCTAAACACTCTTAGGACGCACAAGCGCATTCATGCTTATTTACAACTACTACACCATCATCCTTTCTGTATTTTCTTACATTCCCTTTTCTCTCATACTTTTCTCTCTCAACAACTCATTGTATCACTTTTTATTAAATATAGGGAACATACGTAGCTTATTAACGAGTGAACGTCTATAAAATATTGTCTCTACTTTATTTACTTTACTTTTTCTGTATACTAACATTCTTATTTCCACAGCGACACCAACCTTTTACGACTCCTAATAGCCATTAATCTTTAATCAAGGTAATTGTAGAGTTTACCTTTTGGAACCACCGAGTATAATATATATTGAATTTAGCACCAACAATGATAATAATTTTCCTCTTTTAGTACTAAAACTTGAATTTGACATTGTATTAAAGATACTTTAATTCATTATTTTTAATATAAAAAAGTAAAAATATTTATCTTTTAAAGAGACCATAAAAAAAAATGGAAACGTCCTCAATCTGATATAGATAAATGCAACATCTTTTATTTGTTAATATAATACATTCTTGTAACACTCATTCTAGTATAGTACTCATTAAAATATAATTTAATGCCATGTTAATATTACCGTGTTACACCAAAAAAAGAATTATGAGGTAAAATGTTACGTTTACTGTACCCTACACCAGACTTTAAGACCACACCTAAAGAGTCCGTTTAGTTCGCTAATTCGAGTTGAGATGTGACTTTATGTGAGAGCTATTTACTGTAGTAAAAAAGTTAAATGTGATTGTTTTTAAAAACTTTTTATTGTAATAAAACTCAAATTCTAAATTCAAATCGGTAAAATGAACGGAATCAAAAATAATAAAATTTCTTTTTCTCTAGTTTGAAAATAAAAACTCCTACACAACACCAAAAAGTACAAAGAGAACGTGAAGCCAAGACTCCAAGGGCTTGTTTGGTTGTATTTTTGAGTTATGGTTACTTGAATGTAAATCTTGAGTTGAATTTGAGTTATAACTTAAGTTGAAGTTGCAACTTGAGTTTGTGTTTAGATGTGCACATTTAAGTTATGGTTTGAATTGAGAATCTATTTGAGTTTGTGTTTGAGTGAGTCAAAGCTTGAATTTGTATTTAGATAGTATTTTAATAAAAAACTCAATGATGATGACAAATTTTAATAGGGTAATGAATAGGATTTTATTCATCTCTTCGTTATAAACGCATAAAAAAAATCATCTCAATCGGAATTAAAACGAAAAAGTTGTGATATTTTTAAGAATAGAAAAAATATTGTTCATTAACTTGAGTTTGAGTTTAATAACTTGAATCGAAAGAAAAATTTAATATCAGATTTTAACCCTAAGTTCAAATTAAAACTCGAGTTCAAACTTAAATTTAAACTTAAATTTTATAAAATAACATAAACTTGAATAAAATTATAGTTAAAGTTAAACTTTTTTTGAGTTTTAATTCAAAAAAACAAGCCCAAGAGATCACAAAAGCAAATTACATTGGTTACCGACACGTATAAGAACACCACACGCGGTTGGTTCACAAATGAACAGCAAATCAACACTCCACATTTATTTCCGCATCAGGTTACTTCCTCGTTAAGCTTAAAAGTTAAGCGTTCGTCAATCGACCATGACCTTTCCAATTCGAAATTCGCTTTAATATTCCAAAATCATCCATGCAGGACCCATTAAATAATTAATTACGACAATGAACAGACCGAAAATCCAGCTTACTGGGCCTCGAAGAAAGTGCGAAAGCCCCTTTGCGGCAAATTTCCAGCGGCGAATACGTCCACAAACCTCCATTTTTATTCCCATTTATTATGACAGTCCGCCTCAACCCCATAATTGTTCATCAACAAAATTATTTTTAGCATATTCATCGCCCTAATTAATCATCAAAATTAGCGGTCCAATGAAAGCAAAAGGAATAGCCTTTATTATTTTTAGCATATAATTAATAAATTGCAATAATATATGTTGTGAACAATGATACAAGTGCTTCAAGTTCAATAAACAAACAGGAAGAGAAACCGAGAAATATACCCCTTTATTATTACTGTAGTACTATTAATATTCCAAGGCCAAAGGTGAGTGGACAAGTTGGGAACCAAAAGCAACAATGAAACGCTCAAAAACCCAGAGACATTTTCAAGATAACCCTTTTTTTTTTTTTTTTTGGCTGAATCAAAAGATAACCCAACTTATCACCATCATCCCTAACACAAAAACAAAAGAGGGACAACAGGAGTCCACACCACATCATTTGCCTAGAGATACGAACATTAATCCCCACAAGAACAAAAGGATTTATTATCACCTAATCCTAACCCAAAATAACAGAATTAACATCATTTTCTTCATCATTCTTTCTTACTTTTTCCTTCTCTTTTTTTTCTTTCTTCCCCTATTCTCTCTCTACTGCTAATAATCTATATAGCAAACTAGTAACCCCCTAAAAACCTTTTCCAATTTTCTTATCCTTTTCTTCCTAAACCATCCAGCTAAAAAACACAAAAGCAAATTAGTAAGTCCAGTCCTGTGGTAGCCGAATCTCATGGTTAACTTGTGGCTGACTCCTGGCCAAGTTGCGCTTCTGATGAGAAACGACATTATTACTCCTTAATCGTAGAGCCACATCTGCGTATCAAAACGGCGCTGTTTGTAAAGATGCAATAAACGACATTATAGAAGAATGTAAGGATTGACTTTAATTTTGTTTTCTTTACCGGTGTCTGGAGTGAAGCTTCCATTAAAACGAGGCTGAATCTGTGGCTGTGCACCACACATGTCGTCTAAGTTCAAGTTGAGTGCCTGCACAACCCTCGCCGGTACCAAAACCGTTGAACAAGCTGTAAAAAACCAAATAAAAAAATAAAATATTACAGAAAAATAAAAATTAATGATGACCAAACCACAAATACCCAAGAACCCAATACAAAAAAAAAGAAGGATACAGATTCATTTAACGCGCAAATCTAAATGAATTAAAAAAACAATGGACTCTAGAAATTCTAACCTGGCTTTCTTCGGGATTCGTGTTGGGTACCGATTTGACGGGGCAAGAAGACGCCGGTGCCGGTGCATTCCTTTTTCCTCGACGGGTTTCCGAGAAAAACCGCTCTCATGCCCGACACGTTTTCCCGTCTCTGTTGCTGCTGCAGAGGAGGCCATGCAGATGGAGACAAGCCCAGAGAACGAGCGTTTTGGTGGTTCCGTGCTTTGTTCTGCACCCCCGTCTGGTAGTTCTGGCGAAGCTGTTGAACCAACTGTTGCTGCCGTTCTGCCGCCAACGTCGCTGGAGTGTTGTTCCCCCAAATCGCCGAGCTCTGTTGCTGCTGCTTCATCATCTGTTGTTGCCTCAGTTGCTGAAACTAAAAATCAGAAAAAAGAAAGGTCGGATTAAGAAATAAATCAACCCTAAATCTGTAATTGAACTCCATGTTTAAGTGTTTCACTTACTTGTAATTGTTTTTGAGAAATGGCGTGGTTGAGGAAAAACTCGGCGCTAGGGTTTGCAAGAGGGGTTTTTCTTGGAGCATTCAAAAGACCGCCGCTACGGAAGAGTTTGTAATACTCTTCTTCTTCTTCGTTGTTGTTGTTGTTGTTCTGGCTCATCAAGCGCATCTTGGCGACTTCGCCGGCGGCGGCGTTGAGGAGATCCCAAGTCGCCGCCGACGGACGCGGCGGCGGAGGAGAGGGGACTCGGGAGTGAGCTTCGTTAGGGCTTCCGCGGCTCTCGCAGCCACAGCCACTGCCAAGCGCGCAGAGGGTCGATTGGGGAGAACGGGACAAAGTCCATGGCTGTTAAGAAAAAGACAAGAACAAGAATCAGAAAATAGCGCCAAGAAAAGAAAGAAAAAACGCGTTTCTTTTTTTTCTCCATATTCTTTTTCCATTTCACTTCTTCTTTATGCTTCGTTACCTTGCCGTTTTCGGAGGCGAAAGCAGAGTCGGTGGCTTTGAAACCGTCGTCCAGAGTAGAGCAAGCCATTCGGAGAGTGAGTCCAGCTATGAACTCCTCTTCATCGCTCTCCGCCTCGCTCGAACCAACGACGGACTCAACCGGAGAGTTCAGATCGGAA